AACGCAACTTCCCCCTTTTAAACGCCGACAACGATCAGTGGCTTGGAAGTGGCAATGGTGGTCTGACGGTGGTTGTGGCTTGACGGCAATGGTGGTCTGGCGGTGGTTGTGGCTTGACGGTGGGGACCAGGCGACGACGACGGTAGCTGATCGATGGTCACCGAGTAGTCGTGATAACTTGTTAGTGATGGCCAGAAAGAGGCGATTGGGATTTGGTGGCGGTGACTCGACAACAACGACAATATGACGACTACATCAACCAATCGGTGTTGGCCGGGAAGTTGTGACATCTTAACTATGACTATCGACAATGACAGTTTAGCTGCAGCGGCTACCTGTCGACAGTGTCTGAGAAGTGGCAATGGTGGTTCAGTGGTAATTGCGGTTTGACGAAGGTGGTTGGAAAACGGTGGTGGCCAATTGACTGTGGCTTAAAAGCGGCGACGATGGTCTGACGGCTATAGCGGCCGAGCATCAGTATTTCAACGATGACAACAACCGGGCATTAGTGGTCCGACTGAGACAACTAATCGGGGACATTCCAACGGTGGTGGATTTTAGGAACCCTCAAGAGCTTTGATCTCCCATTCAACCTCTTCCTCCAGTTCTAGATCTTAAGTCTCATTTCATGAAGGGAGTGAGACTATTTATAGATTTTGGGAGTGACATCCTCCGTAAATACTTCTTGAATTCATGTCACTTTATCAGACTACCCGGAGTGATTCCCTTGATCGAATAATGATCCAGGAGCATTTGTGTGCCTTAATGATATCAGAATCGAGTTATATTGGACTCATTGGATTCGCCCCAACAGACGCTTGATTTGACTATATGCTTGTTAGATTTGGAATCTATTGGCCGTTCAATTGCCCATCCCAAAGCCTCCAATTGTGGTTAAATGACTTGATCTGGGCTTATTCAGACTCAGATCAAACTAATTTTAACTTCATTTGGCTCGCCTTATCAAGACATTTAGCTTGACTATAAGCATGTTGGAATCGAGACCCTGAATGCTATTGAATTTAAATTTTGAATGTTTATTGTTTGAAAAGCTCTGAGATACGTGCATGATTAAAGTAATATTTTGCGGACAGATCAATTGCCCCATATTTTTAAACGTCACTGTCAAAGGAGTTGAAAAATATATCTTAAAAATTTTGAAAAGTTTATATTTATATATGATCTTATACATATAATTTAAAATCATAAAAATTATACAATAAAAAATAAAATTTGCAATTTAAATTTAAAGTCTCAAGTCAAATTAAATTTGAGGATAAATATTGTGCATTCGACCACGAATTCAACAAGTATTTGTGATTTGATGTCCGATCGAGATAGACAGCGAATGCCAAATTTTTTTAATTTCATTGACCATTTGATGAAACTTTTGGACCTATCTGATTTTTTGTAAGATAGCTCTTAATGGGAGATGATGTCGATGCTGTAGGCAAAATACAGGCGTAACCTTCAAGTTGAGAACATTAGGGCTAGTGCAATTTTGTTTAACAATTGTTAGTAACTTTTCGTGCCAAAGAGAATCTTGCTAATATAGTAGATAGGTCGTTGAATCATCTTTTCTTCCCTCACTAGAACAGAGCTTATCCTTTGAGGAGAAATAGCGACGTATATATAGCATCTCTTTTTGGACAGGTTTTGAAAGGAGGGGTGGCGAGGCCAACAACGTCTTTAGTTGCTTGAAAACGGCCTAACATTCATCCGTCAATTGGAAGCCATTGTTTTGAGTGCCCCCTATTATCCTAAAAGATGGTAGATATTTATCTCCTAAGTGAGCCAAGAAACGGGATAAAGCAACTATGCATCTGTTCAAGTATTGCACCTCTTTAATATTCTTTAGGCGCAACATATCTTTGAGTGCCCTGATTTTCTTAGGATTTTCTTCGATTCCCCGATAAGTGACCATGAATCAAAGGAATTTCCTTGACGTGTCCCCAAAGACACATTTGGTTGGGTCAAGGCACAAGCTGTAGTATCAAAAATGTTGAAAACATTCTTTCAGATGAGAGATATGTTAAGATGTTTCTAGGCTTTTCACCAGCATGTCATTGACATATACCTCTATAGTACTTGCGATGATATCTTTTAAAATTTTGTTCATGAGGTGTTGGTAGATTGTGCTAGCATATTTCAACTCAAACAGTATTGCTTGGTAACATTATAGACCTTTAAATTTAAAAAAATATTATAAATTGAGTATAGTGGATTATTATGTGTTAATAAATATATATTAATAAACTAAATATGTAGCTAATAATTAAACTTAAAATATCTTTGATATTGAATAATTGTATATTTCTATTAAATTTATATAATTAAATATGTTATAGTTAATCAATTTTTTTTAAATAATATATTATATATGATATGAGCTATCATTAAGTTTACTATTGAGCATTTAATAAGTTAGTTGATGAGCAATAGAGAATTTTATTCATGAAAATAAATGGACGAGTTGCACCATGTTTATATTTTGTTCCTTTAACCTTCGAGTTTTTAAAATTCAAAGTTGTTTGTTGACAAATTTAAGCAAACTTGATTGAGTATTAATGGAGCCGAGTTCGGCTTGTTCATCAAGTGCACAACTCTAATTATTCCTCATTTGAATTGTGGTTAAACCTTGAAATCTTTGCATCATCTTGAGCTTTGCCCCACTTGTTCATCTATTAAAAATTTAGGATTATTATTTTTTCTAGTCGCTTTTATTCTTTTTAAATTTTTAGAATAAAAAGATCCATTGTGCAACAAACTTAACTAGTGTATTTTCTCGTTGAGAAAAAAATCTCTTGATATATATATTTTTTTGGATGATGAAAATTTTTAATTGCAGAAATATGACTTCTATTGCTTGCTTTTGAGGCTCTGTAATATTATAACATTTACAGTGTATTTTGACTGGTGTGAAGAGATTCCAGTTCAAGCATCGGAGTACCTATGAACTTCTTGTTTATATTGATGACGGTAGTTACATATCTGAGGTCTTCATTGATCACAATGTGAGTTTAGGTCTAAATTTGGTAATTTGTTTTATATTTCTTCCTCTGATGAACGTGTTCAAAATAGGAAGCTATATTTTCTTTTTTAGGTTGTGCAAATTGGTATAGGCTACTCACCCGAGGATGTCTCTGTTGCTCTTTCTTCTTCAGACAAGAAAATAAAAGCAGATATGACAGAGACAATGAAAAAATACCAGCTTTTCTTGTCTATGTATGAGGTACTTTTAGTGTTCATCATATCTTTAAATTTCAATGTCTTACCATTTCCTGCTTTCAATAACTACGGGTGCTCTTGCTAGCAAATATTTTTTCTCAGAAGGTGTTCTAGTGCTTTTTTCACGCCTTAATTTAAATATCTAGTGATTCAATCTATTGTATTAGTTTGTATTTTTAGTAAAAAAAATTACACAATAGATAAGATATTGTTGATATTCAGCGTAAGGCTGGAACCATTCAGAATGTTCATTCTATTATGTGATTTGACCTTTCAGAATGCTCATTCTTTTGGTTCACGACACTTGCGTGCTGGGTATCTCAGGTAGGTGGTGGAGGTTACTTTACTGTATTTTGATACTGAATTTGTTGGCTACCATATTAGCTACTTAGATACTCGAACGCCTAAGAATGTTTAAATACCTCACTGGATATCTTCTTGTGCACAACACCATTTGTCTTTTTTCGTTATTTTCTTAGTTTTTTTATGACTCTTTAAAGACAACCATTGGACTTGGTATGATTACGGCACTGCCTGTCAAACTATGAAATGTTATGCTTATACACATGAAATTACATTTCCCCACTTTTTTTTTCTTTTTCTTTTTAATTTGTTGTCATGTTAGCATGTCATTCCTATATTTATTTTTCATGGTGCATATTCAAGAAAAAAAAATTAAGGACAAAGAAGGGCAATGAGACCCAATAAAGCTTTGTTGATGCAATGCTCAAGATCCGCTGTATTGTTTGTATAAATTTACAGAATTTAGATGTGTCAGTTATAGTTTGCATTTAATTTCTGTGTATTATTACTAGTGCTCATGATGATTGGGACATTCTAAATATGATTAATTTCAACAAGATTTTTCTTTTTGATGAAAATATGACACAATAGGATGCAATGGAGAAAAAAGATTCATGTAACCGACTACATTTAGTAGGATAAAGGCTTGTTGTTGTTATTGTTGTATTTCCTGTAGGTCCTTAGTCTGCTTGTTCTATTATTACATTTCCGTTCTCTTATTCACAGGTCTTTGCTTACTGATATTATTAAATTGGTGGCGGGGAATAGTGGCAGCATGGGTATATGAGATAGCTTTGCATGGAAACGGGTGGATAGTCAGTTGAAATTTGCAAGAAATCGGATAAGGGCTGACAATGGAGCTTGTAAAAAGAAAATTTAACTTGGGGATAGGAACCTTTGATGTCTTACATTGATCTCTGAAGCTCGCAGAGAAGGAGCATCATAAAGCTTATAGAAGCCTTGGAACCCTAGCAAAATCCACTAGGGATCAAATTTGTATTTACAACTAATCAACTATATCCAAAAGAGGATCTCTTGCTCTTCATATAAATAACCTGATTTGTTCAATTACTTAGAAGCCCTTGTAATTATTTCAGAATGATAATGATAGCAGAGTTAACCCAAATCAGGACTCATATGCGACAAATTTTATTACTGAATTATAAAAACTGAGTACAATGTTGACTCCTCACCAACAAGGACAGATGAACAACAAGCAAGAATACATTAGCAGTAAAATGAACACAAACAAAAATGTGAAGCAACACCAAAATAATAAATAAAATAGAGAAATGCGGGAAATAGATTAAGCATGGAACATAAATTAGTCTTGGAAGGTGCCGATGGGGGAGGCTAGAGGCCTGTTGGACGGGACAGCCGAGGAGACGGCGACTGCTAGAGGGGTGTCAAATGAGTCTTTAGCGCAGGGGAGTGGCAAAGAGCTGGTCAGCGGAGGTGGGAGTGCTGGAGGGTTCGAATGGTGTGGTAGCTTACTGGGGAGGGGCTAGGAGGTGCGGTAGATTGTTGTGGGAGGGTTGGGAGGCCCGACAGCCTGTTGTGGGAACACTGAGAGGCACGGTCGCCTGCTGAGGAACGACTTGGAGGTGCGACAGAGGAAGGAGGCATAGGGAGTAGTGCAACAATAGAGGAAGGTGTTGCTCGTCGGGACTGCTGGAGTAAGCTTGACGGGAGGTCGAACAACCCGCTAGAGGACCTGAGAGGGCGGTAGTGACAAGGGGAGATGTCAAGTAGAAGTAGCGGAGCGGGATACACACCACCTTGTCGAGATACAACCGTTGCATCACTTCGCTGAATGATACAACCTCGAAAGAGGGAACATCGGGAAGAATACTTGAAATTAGAAAACCAACGACTTATTAGGACCTAAGCAAAAATACATATAAATAAAGAGAAAACTAGTAGCTAGCATTGGTAAGATCAGAGAAAGGAAGGGGAGGAAATTGTAGGAAATGAAGAGGGGGCTGCAACGGCTAGGAAGAGAAAGGGGTTGCAACGGCTGGGAGGAGACAGAAGATTAGGGCTTGGTCTGTCTATGATTGGCGATCTACCTCGGCGTAATGCTCATTTGTGTGGGAAAACTTGGTCACGTGGAAAAGCAAGTAGCAGTCTGTAGTTGTTCGGAGCAGTGCGGAAGCTGAATTTTGGTCCATGTCTATGGAAATTTGTGAAGCTTTTTGGTTACTTATTGTCAGCCGTTTTATTGTTCAACTTTCACTTTCGTAGTTTGAAAAAGGTGTGATTTTGTGATTTTGAAAATAATTTAAATATAAATATAACTTTTTTTTTTAAAGAAGTAACATTTTAATTTTTAAAATAAGTGAGACCAAACGAGTCTCACATTTTTAAATAGTTTAGATGATTTAATACAATACTATAAGCAATACATTTATCCCGAAGAATAAATATATTACTTATAATAGGGATTTAATCATCTAGACTAAACAATTTGTGACATCCGTTTGGTCTGCGAAATATTTTTATAAAAAGGCCAACAAGTTCCCCTATCTAACATAAAAAATTAAATAGGGTTTATTTTATCTGGGTTCCTGGTTCCCTATAGAGGCAAACCCCTATAGTTAATTATATCTTAAATAACTGAGAGTCATTTAAGAAAACTCTCGATTAAGATCAGGTGGTTTCGTTTTCAAGATTTCAAAATTTAGGTTTTCACGGTTGGACATAGGAAAATCAAATGAGAAAGATTCAAAATAGGAACAATTATTTAAGGAATGCAAAGAGAAGAAAAGTAGGGGATATCACAGATCCAGGAGAAACCCCAGAGATGTCCTAACTATCCTATTGTTTGGCTTTATGTCTTTGAAGAGATAATTATTTGATGTCTCAATCCTGCAAATTATTTAAGATTTAGGACTTATATTTGCACGACGTCAGACTGTGCAAATAGCCTAAAAGACAGGAGGATTTACACCGTACCATACGG